ATGTAGTTAACCATACATCGACATAAATAAAATATAGTTTGCATTTCCAACACGTAGTTTATAGCAGTATATGCATGTTGACGTGGTGACGCGCGCACTCTTAGTGAACCACGTACAAGTTTTCTGTCGTATTGATATCAAATTTTAACTTACAGTCGGGGTCCTGACTGTTGGCTGCTGGAAGGAGAGTCTCTTCAGGCCCGTCAGTCCCAGCCATAGATAGCTGCTGCCATCTGTTGGCCAAAACAAATCTAGGCGGAAGTAAAATGCTTCTCTTTCACTGTACTGATAGCGCGTTAGCTCAATGCTAATAGCATTTACAGTGATTCTGACTGATTGTGAAGAAACTTCAGAGTGTTGCCTTTCAATAAAGACTAAAACCACACATGTACTCCCAATGGTTCAATAACAGCTGTCAGTTTACTTTGGGTACGCGGTGGATAGGCGTTTTAGGCAAATTATGCAGGAATGAAAAGAGAATCGATTCTGCCCCAAGCTGAATCTATTTGAGGACGCTGATTGGCTAAATTGTATGTCACACATTTATATCTTTAAGTAGCAGTTGGCTAAACTGCTTCATAGTCCCGCCTCTTTTGGCCAGTTTCTCCAGCGCCCCAGAGCTGCTGAGACGTGCACGCACGGAGAGGACGTGCACGCGCGGAGAGGACGTGCAAGAAAAGCATATATTTACCGCAGATATCATATTTTACACATATTACTGGTGATTCCATCTTTCAAAAACACAAATATTGACAATTTGTACAGTTTATTATTATTATTATTTATTGTATTTATTGCGCCCTCTATGGACCAGCCAACACTGGGTCGTGTAGTTAGTTGCTCTTCAGTGACATCAACTCTGAGACTGAAGAGAGAAGAACTCAGAGCGTCATCACAGAATCTGGAGCATTACGTCATCTCAGTAGATCTCCCCCCCCCCCCCTCCATCGCCTCTGTGCAGCATCCGAGCTCTGATTGGTCCGTCGCCCGGTGGCCTATAAAGCTCATTGGCTGATCCCGAGTAATGCTGCGGACCTGATAGAGGACGGGGGTTGGGGGGGGGGGGGCCTTCAGATAAAAGGGGAGACAGACAGCGGGACTCATCTGGATCAACGAGACCCGAATCAACCGGAGACCGAAGACCCGATACCGGCTACGACCGTACCCCGTTGGTCTCTACCGGACTTTGCCGACTCAGTGAGACTCTGCCCGGCCGGTGATCCTCGGAGCGGCGGAGCAGGAGGAGGAACAAGGTGAGAACATGGGCGTCTGTCCTCCAGCAGAGAGACGGGACCGCGCGGGGCTCTGCAGGAGATTATTGTTGTTATTATTAATACTATTATTTATAATAATAATTATTATCATTATATCAATAATTCGGTTAAATACCGTGAGTTTAAAACACGTTCCGATCGCTGTGCGCTGCTGTTAGAATAATATGAATATCTATTATACGAATGTCCCTGAACGCATCACCCAGCAGCTGACTCTAGTCGAACATCTCGAGATGATCGAGCCTCACAAAGAGATCAGCTCTTCATAGTGGGGGAGGTTCCTGTTTATCAGGGTTCCGATGATCCGATAGAACCTCCGGGTCTCCCTCTGCTGTGTCTTACTTGCGGTAAAAACTTGGACACCTGGACACACACACCTGGAAGGTAGCGCTGCAGTGGCCATCCGGGCGGGTCGATCATCACCACGGACAGGAAGGAGAACCCGGACACCGGGCGAAGGAGGTCCCGGTCCGTACAGAATCTGCGGAGCTTTGAACGGCTCGTTTGACGGCTGTGCGCGCGGCAGCGGGGTGCTCCGAGGGGTCACGTGATGATCGTTATGATCAATTTCTATGATGTCATGCAAATAGAAGGAAAAGCTCAACTTGTCACGTGATCACGAGTGTGTGTGTGTGTGGACAAACAAAGTGCACAGGCTGTGCGTGCTGCTCTCAACATAGCGCAGCGTGGAAGCGCCTCTCATTAAACAATTTGTTGAAAATGGATGAAATGCATCGAGACACTGTTGAAACTGAACCCACAGAATTAAGATGTGATGCCACTGAAGAAGAACAAGAGTGGAATGTCATCGGTGATGGAAAGGCTTCAAAAGGAAACTACCTTCTGAACAAGCAACATAAAGACACAAACGACAACACGTGTCTCTGTTGTCCAACAAAACCTCAAAGATTTAAAGATCGATGTCAAAACGCTTCTGAACTCCAGAACACATGGCTCACTGAGCGTCCTCTGCCGAGGAGGAGCTGATGATGATATATGTATTGAAGAAATATCCACATGGAATTACTTCATGGTGATGCAAATGATGATGATGATGATGAAAAGTTTAGTTGTCTCAACTTAACTTATGACATCTTAATGATATCACTTCCTGTGTGTTTCCATCCAGCTGTAGATGTGACCCACCTCCTCTGACCTTCAGCAGGAAGTTCAACCAACACGTCAGTTGCAGTGCATCATGAGATATGTGGCCTTTTTCGCCGTCCTCTGCGTGGTGACATCATCAGTGTGTGCTGGAGTGGGCGGGGCCAGTCAGGGTAAAGAGCGATTCTTTAAACTTCAGACGGACAGGTGGAGGTTGATGTGGATCCTGAGCTGTGTGTGTTGTGTTCTGTAGGTGGCGCTGTGCTGTGTCCTCTGCAGTGTGTGTGTGAGACCAGACCCTGGTACACGCCGCAGTCCGTGTACCACCAGGCCAGAACCGTGGACTGTAACGAGCTGCACCTGCACCGAGTACCAGTCAACGTCTCCTCTGACACTCAGGTGACCTATCACAGAGAGAATGGTGATAATTATAATAATCATATTTATTGATGATAATACTGTAACTCTGTGTTTCAATACGTTTCAGGTTCTGCTGCTGCAGAGTAACAACATCTCCTCCATCAACACGGAACTCCAGAGTCTGACCAACCTGACAGAACTGGACCTGTCCCAGAACCACTTCACCCAGGTAACACAAGTCTACTACACGTTCTCCTGCACGTTCTCTTGCACGTTCTTCTCCATGCTCTTCTCCACGTTCTTCTCCACGTTCTCCTCCACGGTCTCCTTAATGTTCTCCTCAATGTTCTTGTCTATATCCTCACGTTCTCCTCCACGTTCTCCTCCAAATTCTCGTCCATCTTCTCGTCCATGTTCTAATCCATGTTCTCCTCCATTATTACATAAATAAAACAGTGATGCCTTGGTGCTCAAAGTTCCATAAAAACTGGTGTCTCTCTTTGTCCAGGTGAGCTCTATGGGTCTGTCCTCTCTGGGTCAGTTGGTGACTCTGTACCTGGAGGAGAACCACATTCAGGAGTTGGAGGACTTCAGTCTGAGGAACCTTTCCAGTCTGGAGGAGCTCTACATCAACCACAACCACATCTCCTCCATCGAACCCAAAGCCTTTGCTGGACTCAACAACCTGCTGCGGTAACTTCTTCTTCTTTGACCTTCTAAAATATCACTAGAACGACACGTAGAACCTCCTCAGTGATAACTAGATCCTCCCTAGAACCACCTAAATGATCCCTAGACAGTAACCACAAAACCACCTTAGGGACCCACAGAATCTCCTAAATGACCACTAGGACCACTTTAAGAACATTAAAACCACCTAAACCTCACAAAGGAGCACTAGTACCAAGTACAGAACCTCCACAACTCCCTCAATGACCACTATGACCTCCTACATGACCATCAGAACCATTTAAAGGATCCATAGAACCCCCTGAAAGAACACCAAACCCTTCCCAGGGACCACTAGAAATACCCACAGGTTCCCACCTAAGTGACCACAGGCATGACCGAAAGGAACTCTAGATGTTCCAAGACGTCCCAAAAGACCCCTAGAACTATCAAAATCACCCATATAACATTTTCAGTGATGACTAGAACCACTTTAAGACCAGAGGAACCACCTAAAAGATCCTCAAGAGCAAAATAACCGTTAGATCTACCTCAATGACCCTTAGAACGTTCCAGGTAGATAAAAGGATTTTGTTATGGTCATATAGAACCTCTGGAATAATCATTACAACCCTCTAAAGAACCACTAGAACCCCCTCAGTGACCAGAGAAACCACCAAAAGGAACCTAAAGAGCTAGAAGACTCTTAGATCCACCTCAATGTCCAACCTCTTACAGGAACCATAGATCGTCCCCATTACCTTAAATGGGTTATTTTAAGGTCAT